GGAAGACAGGAAATCAAGTTGTAGGTGAGGGAAAAAAGGTAAATGGGTACAGTGTTTCTACATAGGAAGACCTCGCTGGAACAGAAGCCATAATGATCTATATAAGATATTTGGATGATGGGGTAATGTAGGGCCACAAAATACATTCAGGTATCAATGTCCTGGCCCAAGGAGATTCTTAAGGTTCAGAAGGTTTGGTTAGTATGGCAATGCCTGAAAATTGTGCTTTGGGGTTCAATGGAAGTCAATGGCAGCCACAGGGGATTTTTTTCACAGCAGATATTAACTGAAAAACTGGGCATGTTGTATTGGGTTGCCATTCTCTTATGAGGTGTACTGTTTACTGGTCAATCGGCCGTACAGGGAAATGATGTTAGATCAGAGCTATGACAGTAATAGCAGGGAAGGAATGGGGCTCTGTTACAAATCAATCCCTAGGGAATGATTCCCAATTCATTATGATTCTGGATGCCTGATATCATTGATACTCCCAGGTGTGGAGAGGGGTACTGGCTTCCCATTATTTAATCACCCCTTCATCCCAGTTGGTTGCAACAAGGTTAACTTAAGGCAAGGGATGCCTTTCCCACTTCCAATTACTTATGTTTTAAATGGAGCCAATTTAACTAGGGTTTCTTGGATTAAGAAAAGGGAGCATATTAGTTAATAAAACATTAACATAAAAAATACAACACACAGACTAGAAGTGAAAAGTGAAGAAAGCGCAAACAATTAGCAAAAATATATCAACATCAGTCTTTGGCTTGTCCGCTAGGAGTAAGATGGTAAAATACCGCAGCCATGAAAGTTGTGTAGTTCTAGTCATGCTGACCTCAGCAGATAAGCAATTTGAATAGAGATTCTTGGTTCTTCAAGTTAACCAAAGGAAATTTTTCAGTTTTCTTAGATACGGTTTTGCTGATTTTTAACATCCTCCTAGCAATCGATGAAAGACTTTCTTTTATTTGCAAGTGCAAGGCTGCCTAGTTGATGTTCTTCAGCTGTGATCTTCACAATGCACACTAGCCCCACAGAATAGCACACCGAGTCCCAAGATTGCAGCTTTTTTCAAAAAAAAGAAAAAAGCCCTCTCTCATTGTTCCCGAGAAGGGAAAGCACAAACTTGTTTTGCCCAGAAATGCTTTCATTTCTCATCATGTCCACAGTCTGGAATATAACTCTTAAGAGAAAAAGATTTCTGTTGCGTTTGTAACCAGCCTTTATTAATCTGCAATCACATGAGATAACAATTCAGTTTTTGCATTTCACCTCTTCCTTTGAAGTAACCATCTGAAGTTTCCAGACACCCTCAGATTCAACATTCCCTAGTTTCTCTCAAGACAGTGTATAATCCACACAGGAACATTTCATGCAATCACAGAATTAAGCCCTCAATTCACGTTCCTACACTTCTTTGGTTTATATATCTTTTTCTCTCTGTGTTAGTGTTAACCAAATAATTGTCTTATTTAGAAGTTCAATATGCTGTTAGACATTCAGGACTATGACCCATTGTCATAGCAAGTACAAGCCTAGGACTATCACTGATGTGCAACAGACAACGGCTTATGAATCAGTGAGATTAGGGCTGCAAATCATGGTGGTACAGGTCAGACAACTGTGGCGTGGATTTTTCCACTTCAATAACAATCCATCAAGAACATTTATCCCTTGACCATCTCTGACAAGGACTTCCACACTGCATGGCTGTCATCGTGTCTTCATACTAGAACTGCTTACTGACAAACAGTAGAGAGGGTGTATCCTGAGTGAGACAAAGCAAGATAGAGAGAGGGATATGTGTGTGTGTGTGTGTGTCTGTGTGTGTGCGCGCGCGCATATGTTAGAAGTTCGCAAAAAGTTGACAAATAGGACCTCAAGAGGTAGTGATCTCAATATCAGTACCATGTGCTAATTAGAGCAGAAGCAGATGATCTATCAGATGAATATGTGGCTGAAGAGATGGTATGAGGGGAGGGTTTCAGATTCCTGAGTCACTAAGACTGCTTCTGAGGGAAGATGGGACCAGTATAAACTGTATATATTACAGATGTCCTAGGGGATATATCTGCTAGTGAGATTGGGTTGCTGTAAACTAGAATGGTGGGGTGATAGGAACCTATGCAAGGAGTCAAAGGAAGGGAATCAAGGACCAGAACATAAAAAAAGTGATAGACACGGAAATCAAGAGCCAGGATTAAACACAGCCACAGAGAAAAACATTGGGAACAGGCCAATAATGCAAAAAAGACAAGCCTCAAGGCTTTGTGCCTTAATGCACTCAGCATTCGCAATAAAGCGATGAATTAATTAACCAAATAGATGAAAACAGGATGATATAGTCAGGAGTACAGAGACATGGCTTCAGACTGATCTGGCATGGGAAGTGAACATTCAGGGGTATTCAGTATACGAGACAGACAGACAAAAAGGAAAAGGCAGTGGAGTTGCATTTCTGGTTAAAGAGGAAATTAATGCAATAGTGAGGAAGGATATTAGCTTGCAGTTCCTCACAGCACACCCTACCACCCAGCTTTGTGCCATCTGCAAATTGAGATGTTTGTTTCCCTCATCTTTATCATTAACATACATTGAGAATAACTGTAGTCTTGGCACCGATTCCTGTGGTACCCCACTAATCATTTCCCGCCATTCAGAAAAAGACTTGTTTATCCCTACAAGAGACAACAAGGTGCAGGGCTGGATGAACACAGCAGGCCAAGCAGCATCAGAGGAGCAGAAAGGCTGACGTTTCGGGCCTAGACCCTTCATCAGAAAAGGGGGAGGGGAAGGGGGTTCTGAAATAAATAGGAAGAGAGTGGGAAGCGGATAGAAGATGGATAGAGGAGAGGATAGGTGGAGAGGAAACAAACAGGTCGAAGAGGCGGGGATGGGGCCAGTAAAGGTGAGTGTAGGTGGGGAGTTAGGGAGGGGATAGGTCAATCCAGGGAGGACAGACAGGTCAAGGGGGCGGGATGAGGTTAGTCGGTAGGAGATGGGGGTGCGGCTTGAAGTGGGAGGAGGGGATAGGTGGGAGGAAGAAGAACAGGTTAGGGAGGCGGGGACGAGCTGGACTGGTTTTGGGATGCAGTAGGGGGAGGGGAGATTTTGAACCTTGTGAAATCCACATTGATACCATTGGGCTGCAGGGTTCCCAAGCAGAATGAGTTGCTGTTCCTGCAACCTTCGGGTGGCATCGTTGTGGCGCTGCAGGAGGCCCAGGATGGACATGTCGTCTGAGGAATGGGAGGGGGAGTTGAAATGGTTCGCGATTGGGAGGTGCAGTTGTTTATTGCGAACCGAGCGTAGGTGTTCTGCAAAGCGATCCCCGAGCCTCCGCTTGGTTTCCCCGATGTAGAGGAAGCCACACCGGGTACAGCGGATGCAGTATACCACATTGGCAGATGAGCAGGTGAACATCTGCTTGATGTGGAAAGTCTTCTTGGGGCCTGGGATGGGGGTGAGGGAGGAGGTATGGGGGCAAGTGTAGCACTTCCTGCGGTTGCAGGGAAAAGTGCCGGGTGTGGTGGGGCTGGAGGGGAGTGTGGAGCGAACAAGGGAGTCACGGAGAGAGTGGTCCCTCCGGAAAGCAGATAAGGGTGGGGAGGGAAAGATGTCTTTGGTGGTGGGGTCGGATTGCAGATGGCGGAAGTGTCGGAGGATGATGCGTTGGATATCCATCTTCTATCCGCCTCCCACTCTCTTCCTATTTATTTCAGAACCCCCTTCCCCTCCCCCTTTTCTGATGAAGGGTCTAGGCCCGAAACGTCAGCCTTTCTGCTCCTATGATGCTGCTTGGCCTGCTGTGTTCATCCAGCCCTGCACCTTGTTGTCTCGGATTCTCCAGCATCTGCAGTTCCTACTATCTCTGATTCATGTTTATCCCTACGTTTTGTTTCCTGTCTGCTAACCAATCTCCTATCCATCTCAATACACCACCTCCAATTTCGTGTGTTTTCTTAACATATTAATCTCCTGTGTGGAGCTCTACTAGGTCCATCCTTAAAGAATTCCTGAATATTTGTCAAGCATGGTTTCCTTTTTGCTAATCTAGGTGGACTGTATTTGATTCTACCACTGCTTTTGAAGTGCTTTGCTATAAAATCATTGATAATGGACACCAGCATCTTCCCTACTAATGACATCAGACTCGTTGGTCTATTGCTGAATGTTTTCTCTCTACCTCCCTTTTAAAATAATGGAGTTACATTAGCTACCTTCCAATCTGAAGGAACTGTTCCAGAATCTAAAGAATCCTGGAAGATGATCAATGCATTCACTATTTCTTGAGCCACTTCCTAAGTACTCTGGATGTCGATTATCAGGCCCTGGGGATTTATCAACCTTCAATTCCATCAATTTCTCCAACTCTACCTCTCATCCCATACTGTAGGTCATTTTAATTTTTTTTAAATCAGTTGTATCATTAGAGAAGATATTACGTGCAGAGTAGTTTAGCTAGGAAACATCACAAAGGCTATAATGAGATATTGAAGGGTTTTGAAATAAAGGGTAAATACTTTGAAATTGATTCACAAGATGAAGGAAGGACATCTCACCAAGAGGATAAGCAGATCACAAAGCAGACAAGTTGGACTTTACAAATGGAGCTGAGCAGAGAACCAAAAAAATAATAAAAACACAAATTTAAGTCCCACTAAAATTTTAAGTGTATTCCACAATTCTGCACAGGTCTAATGAAACAGATTTTCTTTGATTCTTACTATTTTCAGAAACTGTACATTTAACTTTATTACCAATATTACCTTCTCTGAGACAAGCTACGTGTCTTTAGTGGAGGTGAAAACAGGTGATATATATGTATTCTCAATAGATTATTTTATAAAATGTGCTACCACATGACAAATGAAAACAAAAATGATGTACATTAAATAGAAAAATTACGCAATATCTTACACTGTTTATATTCTGATTAACATTCCTTTGACATAAAGCAACAAATTGTATTATAATATCTCAAATAAAAAAAATTTACATACCAGCACTTAAGATCAGGTGAAATTAACATACATCAACTTTCCATTGTGCTTATTTTCCGAAAAGATATGTCAGGAGCTCTGTTCAAACAATAAACCATTTCAGTAGTGCTTGTGATGCTTTGAGAAGAATGTATTCTCAGTAAATAGATAAGTTTGTGCACATAGTATTCTGAGCACAAGACATTTTTAACACATTTATTAATATCTCAAATACATGTATTTTGTTGAACTTTTAAATACACTAAGAATGTTATCATTAGAATAAATCACAGTTGCTGGGTAATGGACTTCATAAAAACGATCTAAACTGTCAAGAATTTTCTCTTCATATATTCTTCAAATACACTTTCATTTTTCTATGTAACATTGGATTATTGCATTAAACATGTAACATTTGACACGGAAAGCAATAAAATATTTTACAAATAAAAAGTATGTATAGTACAAAATATACCATATGACTGTAAACACTAAATGTCTTCAAAATACCACAACATATTGCCATGTTGATATATGGCACTTTAAAATCATGGCAGATGTTAAACAAGTAGACCTCATTAAATACTGGTGGCCAGTTCATATATTTAATGAGCAAGTTATAGAGCAGGTTTTTTTTCTCAATAATACATCATCTTGTTTTAAAACAAAGCTTGTTTTTGTAAAATGTATGTTGTCAACAATTAAGTGTGTGAAACGGAAGTTTATTCTAAATTTTACTGCCTAATTATAGTGCACTGCTCTATAATATAGTTTTTCAAATACTCCCTATCTTTTGGGGACGGTAACAGGAACAGAAAAATTGTACGTTTTACGTTCTTGCTCAGTGAATCTACAAACCTACACTTTGTGCACAGTTATTAGAAACTTCACAATCTGCAAGTTTTGCTTGCTTGTCTTCTAAGATTGGCTTTAATATGGTCTTGAGCGTATTGTAAACCTTAGGACCCTCATCAGCATCAAAACTGACCTGGGAAAAATATAACAGAAGCACCTATTAGCCAATTGACAATTTAGAAACTCTAATGCAGAGCCTCATATTTGCCATGTAGCAGTCAGTCACAATGAGGTTAAACTCAAGAAACAATAAACAAGAAAAGCTTAGTTGGAAATATCATAATATTTGTTCCTTTTCATTTTGAACTGTCTTCCTTCCAATCTTCTCCCTACCTCATCTGAAGACACCAACTAGTTGTAAAAAAGTGCTCAACATACAAGAGTCATCTTTGTAGGTGCTATTTATGAGAATGCTTTCACAAGAATGTGAGCAACTTGGCTGCAGAATGGCTTACGGTTGTTCTTGCCCAACTCCAAAACTGTGCAGCTTTAGCAGAGGTCCCTGTGTAACAAGTAGCAACAAGAAGTAAATTGTTTTTCCCTCCCAAATTAATTCTAGCCCTAGAATGGTTCTGCTGTGACCAGGTCCTTACTATAGCGTGATGTTTGCTTCTTTCTCAGTCAAAATCATGTAATTCTTTTTATAACACCTACAAAAGCAACACCTCATGTCTAAACATTACTCAGTCCATTTGGCTGAAAAATGTACATTAGTTTAATGAAATGGAAACAAAGTAGATTAAATTACATCATAATTTCAATTTCCCATTTAATTTTAAATTGAATCAGATAAAATTTGTCAAATAATAATTTTTCCCCCATTTAAGCAAGAATACTTTTGAATACTGTAAAAAGAAAAGTAAAAAACACCATAATTCCAACAGACGACTGCAAACAAAAACAGAAATTGTTGGAGAAACTCAGAAGGTCTGGCAGCATCCATTAAAACAGTGTTAACGTTTTGAGTCCAGTGACCCATCTTCAGAATTGATAGCAGCTAGGAAAAGGTTTTACAGCTGCAAGCAGTTCTGAAAAGGGATCACTGGACTCGAAGTGTTAATGCTGTTTTCTCTTCATAGATGCTGCCAAACTGGAGTTTCTCTGGCAATTTCTGTATTTTTTTTGTTTTAGAGCGCCAGCACTTGTTCTTTGTTTTATTCTGACAAACAAAGTATTTATTCTACAGAGACTGGTATTTCCAAATGGAAGACTGCAAGAAAATCATGGAATGAGATGATGACTCAACAGGCCTTTCTTTCCAATGGCCATGTATGATCTATAGAATTACAGCAATTTTATCCCAGGAAAAAGCTCAACAAAGCTTTTTAATAAAATAATAAAAAGGTCCTTTTTTTTTAAATAAAAAGGTCCTTTGATCCATTGGTATACCAAATAAAACTAGAATATCAATACTATATTTTGTTTACTATAGTTAGCTTTAGTTTGGCCCTAGGAGGTTATAAATATCATGTTCTACCCAGCACCCAATTATTGCTACACGTATTTGCGTATATATTTGCCACTCCTGCCTCAATCAACCAATATTTTCTAAGGTGTCAAATGATACAACATTAACTGCAGTTTGTTTTCAAACACAGTATTCCACATTGAATGGCAATTCTTACAATATTGTATGTTGATGAAGGATTGTTAATGCTTTACTTGTTTTGTGATGTAGTTCTCAATTTTTAAGTTTCCTGTTTATATCTATTAGAGTCAGAGCTGTTCAGCATGGAAACAGACCCTTCAGTTCATGCCGACCAGGTATCCTAAATTAATCTAGTCCCATTTGTCAGCATTTGGCCCATGTCCCTCTAAACCTTTCATATACTCGTCCAGATGCCTTTTAAAATGTTGTAATTGTACCAACCTCTACCATTTCCTCTGGCAAATAATTCCATACACACACCACCCTCTGGGTGAAAAAGTTGCCCTTTAGGTCCCTTTTAAATCTTTCCTCTCTCACCTTAAACCTATGCCCTCTAGTTTTGGGCACCCCTGCACTGGGAAAAAGACCTTGGCTATTCACCCTATCCATGCTCCTCATGATTTTATAAACTTCTATAAGGTCACCCCTCAGCCTCCAGTGCTCCAGTGAAAATAGCCTCAGCCTTTTCAGCCTCTCCCAATAGCTCAAATCCTCCAATCTTGTAAATCTTTTCTGAACCTTTTCAAGTTTTACAACCTCTTTCCTATGGCAGGGAGACCAGAATTGCATGCAGTATTCCAAAGTGGCCTAACCAAGGTCCTGTACAGCCACAACATGACCTCCCAACTCCCATACTCAATGCACTGACCAATAAAGGCAAGTATACCAAATGACTTCTTCACTATCCATCTACCTGCAGCTCCACTTTCAAGGAACTATGAACATGCACTCCAAGGCTCTTTGCTCAGCAACACTCCCCAGGACCTTACCATTAAGTATATAAGTCCTGCCCTGATTTGCCTTTCCAAAATGCAACACCTCACTAAATTAAACTTATTTCTGATGAAAAGTTGTAATTACGTTTCTGCATTTTGGGCAAATGGATCACATCCCCTCATTGACTTCTCCAGTCAACAACCTCTTTCATTTTGTGGTTATTTCTGGAATTGTTGTCATTCTTTTTCTCAAACTCTGCCTCAATTGTTAATCTTCAACCTTCCACTTATAGTGGTTTAAATAAACTATGTTGACTTGTAGACAAAATGCACCTCATTGCTGATTGCAACTTTGCATCGACAGGATAATTTAGTTAACATAATTCACATCCAAAATTTTTTCAATCGTTGCTAAAGATCTTTCAATTATAGTCATTAATCACGAATGTCCAAATATCCGCACCTTACATGTTTTATAAATAAACATTTAACAGCTACCCAATAGTTCACTTCATCTCATTTCTACAGATGTCACTGAATATATTAATTGGACTACATAATTTTTAATCAACACAAATTTGCACAATTACTGCGAATATCTTCCTTATGCATTTTTCAAAATAGTATCAATATAGAACCTCGAATAATCCACTGTGAACCTCAGCAGTCTGGGTGACTGCAGTCGATACACAACCCTGTTTATTATTTGAAGCATTTACAAGTATGTTAGTTTAAGTCGGCTTTCAATAAAAGATAAAGTTGCCATCATCCCTACAGTCCATAGGGCTGCTTGTTCATTAGAGAGAGACAACTGGTAATAGTTTAACCCAAGGTCAGCACATGGAGGTGAGGGGAATGTTTGGGGGAAAAAAAAAAGTCCTTCGTAGTAACCACAGTCTGTACTGGATTTGAACCTACACTGTTGGCATCAATCTGCATTGCAATCCAGCCATCCAGCCAACTGAGCTAACCAATCTCCTGCTTTCAAAACTAAAGTGTTAGTTAACCAACATGCCTTATTTCAAATCTGTCCAAATAGGTAGACTTCAAGGAGTTAAAATCTCATCCTTTATCTTTGCTAACTCCTTCTTGGGAACAAATTTCAGATGTTTAAAGTTCTGTATCAAAGTCATTAACAAATAGTAGGAAAGGGCAGTGGTGAAGTTCACACTGGAAAGGAAGGGAATCAAGAGCAAGTAAGTAAAAAAGAAGGATAAGGGAAGGACAAGCATGCAGCTAACAGGCTTTCAACCATAATTCCTCCTTCAATTCATGATCAAATAGCCCTGGGTCCAACATCTCAAATTTAAATTCACATCCTTGTCTTCCAATCCTTCATAGCCTCATCTGACCCATTTCCACAATCTCCTCCAGCCCACAGAGATCTGTATCCTTCAAACTGTAGCCTTTTGCACATTCCCAACTACCTTAAACCCAGAATTCATAGATCTGCTTTCCATCTCTGGGTAAAAAGGTCTAGAATTCTCTCCCTAAACATCTTCGCTTTCATACATACTCAACTTCCTAAATGGCATCCTTCAATTCTTGACTAAACAGGACAGTTTTAAGATGTTCTTGCTAATATATTTTTTCATAGTAGTGTAGATTTGTGTCTGATAAAGCTGCTGCAAAAATGCCTTTGAGTAATTTTCTACAGTAAAATTGTGAAATTAATGTAAGTAACAGATACTATTGTGTAGCAATATGGATGAGAAAAATGCATAGGGAGAAACAATGTACAGCATGAGGGAGGCACAGTTTAATGAGTATGTCACTTTCAGAAAGCAAGCTAGAAAATGGGGAAACTAGCTCAAAACGTTAATGAGTTAGGGTGACAGCACTTATGATGGCAATTGGGAAGAAGGGATTGTATAGGATGAGGGGCATGAATGAAAAGAATAATGGGAATCAACTGGAAAGGACTGGTTACAATGAGTATTTAAGCATTTCCTCCCCATTAATGCCCCATTACCCTTCTCTTATTTTGGAGGCAAAGAGAGAAGAAAGGTGTAAAGATAGAAGATGTCATAGTCAAACACAAGTGAGAATATACAGGTAGTAGTAGCAATATGAATGACAGACAAGATAAATACTCATTTTGGGTGATATCACAGAAGATCTATTAGTATAAATAAATATATTGTTCAATTTTGATTATACTGTCAACCTTTACACTCTATATTATTTTCATTAAAAAAGACATTCTCAACTCTAATGGATGCACATTATAAGGAGGCATTAACAGAATTAACCTTTGCACGTCAGACTATGATCCAGAACTCTGAAGGTTTTTTGCTCTTTCATGGAATGTGGGCATTGCTGTCAAGGCCAACATTGTTGTCCCTTCCTAAGTGTCCTTGAACTGAGTAGATTGCTAGGCTATCTCAGAGGACAGTTCAGAGTCAACCACGATGCTGTGGGTCTGGAATTACAAGTAGGCCATACTGGGCAGGGGCAGCAGATTTTCTCCCCTAAAGGACATTAGTGAACTGGTTGGCTTTTCACAACAAATCGATAATAGCTGTTATGGTCACCATTACCGAGACCAGATTTACATTCCATATTTATTAATTGAATTCTACCAGCTGCTGAAAAATGCAGGACTGCCTCTAGGAAAATATGGAAATGAAGCTCAGCTTCCACAGAACATAAAGCAAAGAGATATAAGAATTTTCATCATCTCCACCATTTGAATCGATTCTAAGGATAGATACGTAGGGCAAGGGGTAGAAGGGGTGATTATTATGGAAATGAATGCAGCACAATACCCTATAACAGTGATAAATTGTTAATGCTGACCACATGACAGCCTCAATATGTACAACAGAATCTCAATAATGGTGTATTCGTGACTAATACAGGACCATTAAAACCACCCACTTTTAATGCCCACGTTTTGAAGAACCTACAAACATTCACAATGAAGAGCCTACTCAATTTGTTGTTTTATTTTTATTACTTGTTAATAGGACGTCACTAGTTAGGTCAGCATTTGTTTCCCATTCATTTTCCAGGTATCACAATATTCTCCATGCCTGAAACAGTGAGATTTTTTTGACACCACATCTTTCCTGCACCATGTCTATGCAAAAGAAAAGGACTGCATTGTTAACATTTCCTCATAATGCAGAGGTGACCTGTTTTTTTTTCAATATGACCTTAATCCAGACAACTTGACACTGAATGAATTTAGCCCAATGAGCTCGAAAAGTTCCTGCCCTCTTTTTGGCTCTTACTTTGACTGGGTGTTATCATTCTTACAAATGTCGCAAAATTGTAAAAATATGCAAGATCACAGTCAAATTTCCTTTGCAAAGTTTTCAGGGAAACAGATTACAGTCACTTTGTAATATTAAACCGTAATCCTATTTATTCCCTATTGTATACCTTTGATCCAATATCTCTATTCCTCAGCCAACATGAACAAAAAATTGTCTTCTCTTTGCTATATTTTGGCTCATAGTTGGCATAAATTAGCTGCCACATTTGATTATATAACGGTGACTGAATTCAGAACTAATTTAATCAATTTAAACACAGATATAGGAATTAAAAAGCCTTTTTGATTCATTTCTATGGAATTAGAACATTTAGGGTTGAATAGTGAAATAAAACAACATTTCATTAATTCTATCACTCCAAGACTTCATTCAATTCTTTACCCCCATCAGATGGAGTACTTGCCTTAGTAAAAGCTCGAATTGCCCGAGTAAGTATAGCATCTTCTACATCAAACGGCAGGTCACGCAATTGTGCCATACAATCAAGAATGCAAAGCAGTGTCTGATATTGGCCCTTGTTTAAAGTGATAAAACACCATGTAAGTGAATATTATGCTTAACAAGAATATTATCATTATCATATTATTGACTGTTTACATTTCATATTCATGAACTGCCTTTTAAATATGCCTTAAGCAAATAAAGACAATTATTTATTAAAAATGAACAGATTCAATATAACTCTAGATACTAACCAAGACTCTCAAGGAGGATGATTCATACTATTGGTTTCAATCATGCATCAAACATGTAGGATTGTCCTCTCCCCTCTCCCAGAGAATTTCTAGTTCCCCTTTTCATAGTCAAAAATATGCAAGTTCAACGAAAGGCTAGTGAAAATTACTTTGCTATGCTAAAGTCCAGAATGGATGGATATGAAATACAAGAAAACTGAGAATTACCTTTTCTAATGAGTAAAACGCTTTGTTGGGATCCATATATTTATGTGCTAAAGTCTCCACATCTTCCCTACTTATAACTGGTTCTTTCAACTGTTCCAGCCAGGACCACATAAGACTACACAATACATAAGGATTCTTTTCTGTGCGAATTCTTTCCCAAGTTCCTTCTCTGATATTTAGTTCCCGCTGAAAAAAATTGAAAATACTGGTTAGTTAGATTTAGCAAAAACATGTCTGGACGTTATGAACAATCAGCTCTCTTCAAAAACACATATTATTGATACTCATATAAAGGCAAAGTTGCTATCATTTTAGGGCTGCCCATAGGACTGCTGTCTCATTAGAGAAATACAACTGGTGGTGGTATAACCTGAGGGTGAGGTGAGGGGAAGAGGTTGATAAGGAGAGCCCTTCTTGGTAACTTCAGCCAGTGTAGGAATTGAACCCACGCTTTTACCATCAGACATCACAAACCAGAGCAGGAGAAAGATATTCTACAATAAACTCTATCTGGGTATTTGTATTTTCTTCATCTTATAACGAACTTTGGAATTTTTCAGCTTCACTAACAGTTCGGTATTTTCCATAAGGAATAGTCAAAATGAATTTTAAGTGTGTTATCAAAAATAGAAAACATTATGAAAACTGGGTAGGTTCAACATTTGAGTTTACTCTTCAGATGTACATTCTACTCTCAATTAAATCAGCAAATACAGACAATTTAATCACTATGCCTGTGCATGTGTGCATAGGGTGGGGAGTGGGGCAAGAGTGAGAAGGGTTTGCTGGTTGGCCAAACTGTCATTGTCAACAGTACGGGGTTCAAACCCCATTCCAGCTAAAGTGGATCGGGACCTGTTTCCTTGTTCTACCTGCGGTGAAGGTCATGGCTCTGTGGGTCAAATGTATCTTTAGACGAGGTGGTGATGATTATTAGATCCTGGAATTCTTTCTACATGGGGCTGAGTATCACTTAATAGCTCTGTAATTATTTAATGTCAGGGAGATAAGATTCAAACAGAGTGCTTTAGTTGAAAACCACTGATCCAAACATAATGGACCTAATGGCTGCCTTTTGCACAATAGTTTCCAAAATGTACTTTTCACCTTCACTGTTTGACTAGCAAACTGGTGGAGTGGGTCAGCCAAAGTGAAACCTAGGGAAGAGCTATAACATGCATGTCATCTAGTCTACTATCCATGGCTAAAACAACTGCCCTCAATGATCTTGATGTAGTTGCTGGACTGATCTCAGCTATTGAGTTTAGCAGAGGCTCTGCAACACTCCCCATTAGCTTCAGCTAATAGTCCAGCATTGCTCTCTCTGTGCTCTAGGTTCCTCAAAAAGGTAAAACAACTTCTCAGTATCTGCCTTGTTAAGCCGCTTCATAATCTTGAATAAGATCACCTTTCATTCTTCTGAATTCTAGAGTCTTCAGGCTCAGTAAATTGGGCCTATCATTATAGATGCTTATTTAACTAACCTTTGGTTCTGCAGCTTTCAAGGCAAATGTATCCATGGCCACAAGTGGAACAGGCAGATTGCTAGAGTGGTTCATGAACTAAGAACTTGAATAAGTTTGTGTACAGACCCCTTCTGGTTTCAGTGTTTCAACTTTAAAATTACCATGAGCAAAGCTTTAGCCTTAAATAATATAAAGGTTACTGTATTGCAAAACTTCTATATTTATTTGAGTGAAAAACTGATAAGGTTATTTGCTAAAAATATGTACACAAAGACTAAAAGTAGGTAAGGATAAAAGATACTTAGAAAGATGAAAGTAAGATTACTCTTCAAGATTGTCGCAAAGCTATCATCTCTCAAGGTTCCTCTTTCAGAAGGGAAGGGTTAAATTGTAAATTCAGGTTCAGGGCCTTTGATGGCTTCTCATGACTTCTGACTTGTAATTCATTGACTCCTCAAATACTGAAGCAGTCAGAACCCAAATGCAGCAAACTCTCATCACAATTCAGGCTTGTGCTGATAAGTGGCAATTAACATTCGTGCCACATGGCAATGATCATCTCCAACAAGAGAGAATCCAACTACCAACTCATGATTTTCAATGATGTTACCATTGATGAATTGCCCTCATTCTCAAAATCCTGAGGAGGTGTTACCATTGATCAGAAACTGTACTGGACCAGTCATATAAATACTGTGGATACAAGAGCAGGTCAGAAACTAGGGAGTCTGCAGTGAGTAATTCAGTTCCCGACTCCCAAAAGCCTGTGCACTATCTACAAGGCACAAGTTGACAATGTGATGGAATATCTTCCAGTCAGCTGGATGAGTGCAACTCCAACAACAGAGTCAAAACCATTCAGGACAAAGCAACCTGCCTGACCGGCAACCGATCTAACACCTACAATATTCACTCCCCAACATTTGTGAGCTACAATTTACCAAAGCTCCTTACCTTCCAAACCCACAAACTCTACCACCCAGAACAAATGGGCAAAAGATATATGGGAACAGTACCCCTTCAAGCCATACAACATCCTGACATGGAACCATATTGCAGTTTCTTCGCTGTCACAATCCTGGAACACTCTTCCTAACTGTGGAGGTACCAACTGCAGCTGTTTCAGAAGGCAGCTCTTCCTAAGGGGAATTGGGAATGGGTTATAAATGCAGATATTGCCAGCAATGCCCACATCCCATGACTGAATTAAAACAATAAATAAATAAATTTGTCAAATACTATTTCCTTTAGTAAAATCATGCTAAAGTTTATTTCTTTAATACGATTCCAGCTCTTTCATAGAAACTGATGTCAGAATAACTGGTTTACATTTTGCTTTTTTCCATCCCTCCTTTCTTGAACAGAGGTGTTACATCTGCTGTGATCATTCTAGAATCTAGGAAATGTTGGAAAATTGTAACCAAAGCATCCACCATCTCTAACTATTTTATTTAAAGAATCTTTCAACGCAGGCCATCGGAATTTGTTGCTGGTTTTACCTGCAGTTTTTCTATTATCTTTTCTCTGCTGATAATTATCTTTTCTCACTCTTAGCATTTGTAACCCTTAATTTCTGCTATGTAAATTGCATCTTCTACTGTGAAGACAGACAAAATATCTGTGGTCTAGGCCCGAAACGTCAGCCTCTCTGCTCCTATGATGCTGCTTGGCCTGCTGTGTTCATCCAGCCCTGCACCTTGTTGTCTCGGATTCTCCAGCATCTGCAGTTCCTACTATCTCTGTTGAATATCTCTGCCATTTTTTCATTCCCAATGATAAGCAATTCAAATAGGCAGATCACTAACAACTTCTCAAGGGCAACTACTAATGGGTAATGAATGCTGGCCCAGCCAGCAAAGCCCACAACCCATAAGTGAGTTAAAAAAAAAAATCTCCTGTCTCAGCCTCTAAGGGGCTAATGTTTACTTCAGCTACTTTCCTTTACATATGCCCTTTAGCGATCTTACAATCAGTTTTCATATTACTGGCTGGTCAATTCTCATTTTTATCCTTTCCTCTGACGGGGTAAATATTGAGATGATGAGAGAATCTCAAACTAGTGAACATAGTTACACAACAAAGGGACCACTTGTTTAAAACTGAGATGGGAAGGAATGTCTTCTCCCAGACCTGTGAATATCTGGAGTAAAATACCACTGAAAGATGTGGAGACTAGATCACAAAGTTTTAAAAGGGGCAGGAGATAGCTTTTTTCAAAATATTGAGGCTTTCTGGACTATGATGAGCTTGCACAAATGAGGAGTTGAGATCTGGGAAGATCAGACATGCTGTTGAATGATAAAGCATATTTGTGGGGCTGAATAGCCTACTCATGCTTCTACTTCTTATGGTCTTTTACAATTACTCATCAAATCTGCCTAGATCTAAAATTACTTTGCCCCAAGTTGATTTTACAATGCAGGAAACTTTTGTGAAACTCATCTTCTAGATTGGATAAAGCAAATTGGCGAATGCAGTTTACATGAAGTTCACAATGCTAATTATATTACCTCTATTAGAATCTCTAATCACTTTTTGCTTAATGGTTAGTGTCAGCATTGTTAGGAGGCCTATATACTACTTCCTCCGGTACTTATTGATCATTTTTAAAAGAGTATACTGTATACAAAGAGTGTCTTTCCTGGTAACCAATAAAAAAATCTGGGAATAGTTTCCATAATTGTCACATTTTGTACAACTTTGAAAAACCAAACATGGCTTTATGATATTATTTAATTAAATTATGCAGGGAGCAGTGAGAAACCTTTTTGAAAATGAAAAATTAGCTTTAAACATAACTTATTAAACATCCAAAACTCAATGCCTTAATAAGTGATCTTCAATAAATTATAGTCCAATTAAAGGGCTATAAAGGTTCAAATTTACCATGGAACTGTTCAGAAATTTGTTCTATTCAAAAGAATTCAGCCTTAAATGGGAAGGGTTTTGGCTTGTCAAAACACTTGTCAAACTGCGTAAATACTATCTGTACAATCACCACCAGAGTGCATGTGCAGTTTATAGTAACAGGATACCAGTTTTCAAATGACTTCTCGCCATTTCTTCTTGGAAATCAAACCAACAACTTTGATGTTGAATGCTGAAATTCAGAACTAAATTCATAAAGTAACAGATGTTAATTTCAACTTGAGCCAATTTATTCACCAATTCTAAACTATTCAAAACTTTATATATATTGCAAATGCATTACTTCCCATTAATTAGATGTTGATTATAATTCATCATCATTATTACAGTGAATGATGTAAATCAGCTGCATAACATTGCATGATACTCTTTTCAAATCAAAATGCTTGCTGCTGACAAACAAAAAATGATTTGAATATTAATCATAGCTTCCTCAGCAAATCCAAAATAGCGATGAGAATACAATAAATTATAGGACTGATCAAGGGAAACGGCTTCAACATCAGATGTTGAATAAACTGTCAAGCTTATTTCTTATAGTTTGAGAGGAATTAGATATAAGGGAATTAGATATAAGGGAATTGGATAAAAAGATTTGAAGGAGAAAACATTTGAAAGGATGTAGGAAAGAGTTGGAGGGTGGAACTAACTGGATTATTCTTCAAAAGAGCCAATCCACGATTTAATGGATTGAGAGCCCTTCCGTTGTGCCATTCTGTTCTATGATTTTATGCCTTCTTCTGTAGCAAAGAACAAGTTGGTCCAATTTAACGCAACGTACTCAGATGAAGCTGGATTGTCAATAATTATACCTTTTAAAACAAAGTACCAAGTCATGTATGTATGCTCCATGATATCACTATGTCGTGACAGAACTTCTCACATTAAGGTTAACAAAAGCATACAGATTGTTACGACTGTGACGGGAGGAATGGCCAGGTAATCAAGCCCCACAACTCTATGAGTCACATGATTGAATCAAAAAGTTTATTATAAATCACCAAACTACACAGTTGTTTCACTTTTAGACTGCTATCCAGACAAAGCGAGACCTTCACTAGGCTGCTGTAATGAGCTCAAAATAATCCTTTTATTATAAAACAAAACTCACTCTTAGAACAAGTGGTGAAACTGTTTAACATCTAAGTTGTAATTTAGAATTACAATACATCCTTTCAATCCCAAAAAAGAGACACACGAAAAAACTCTGCAAAGATGATATTATAAAAAAGGGCAAAAGAAAAACAATCTTTTTGGCCAATGGTCTGCAAGCAAACATTAAGATTTGATGAATTCTTGTTGATGAAATGAATTACCGTCAGTCAAAGGCCAATGGAAGATCTTTCAAACAAGGCTGCAGTTTGGTTGGAAATCAAGCTGTATTCTTGCTTTTAGATAATGGTCACAGTTCAGCATCATGTGGAAACTCTAACAGGTCGCCAAAAGAGGGAGATTTTGCAGCCAGAGTACAGCTTTGAAGATTTCCCCCCAACCCCCACCCACCTTTCTCTTCAATGGCCTAGGATTGTGAAACCAAAAACCAAATCCAGAAAGGGTTGCTAGGCAACCATCAGTGCAGGGACCCCCATAGTTTCTTCTAAAGCCAGGTCATCCAGTAACTAAAGGCAATTAACCCCATATCTCGCCTCCCCAAGTATTATTTTCAAAAGTTACTTGACATTCTGTAACTAGTAGGTGGGTCACTGCCCACATTAAACTGTTGACCTTATTTTCAAGAAAACACATGGGTTCCTTTCAAACTTTTGGTAAAAACCCTATTTTAATCCAAAAAGTTTAATACCTTCCAGTTCTCCACATAATCTACAAATATAGGTATGTGTTCCCAACAATAAGATAAATTGGATTTTTTTTAAATTTTTTTTATATACTTGTGATTTGTTATACGAGTTCAATGGAATTTTTTATAACACTGATGGAGGGTTTGAAGGGGAAAGACCTCAGAACCAAAATGTATTGAGAATGCCTGTTCTAATATACAGAAACACCATTACAATTGGTCAACCAACTTTCAGCCATAATAAATAAGACCCAGGAAGGCTAATAGCTGCCACTGCTTGTAAGTTTTAAAACTCAAAACACTAGGTGATATTCTAGTTTGTCAAACACACCTTCATCACCCACCCTCACCAATTTGTATCATAGGTTTAGGAGGCCACTCAAATTAGGTTCACACACTAAATTCTCACGACGCCATTAAAGTTGATTTTACTGCTAATGCTCAAATTGAAACAAAATTCAAATAGGATAGAAATTCCTCCATTTGATAACTGCAAAAAATGCATCCAATGAATTAAGCAAATTTGGCAACAGTAAGTTTACAACGTTCATGTAACAAGGAGCAGAAAAGAAACAAAAGAAAAATTAACAAACATTAACAGTTGGTAGGTAGCACAGTGCTTGAATATAATTAAATAACTTGTCAAAGCTTTTTGCCTTGCACTTATCAGGACGACCACAAGAATACCAACGTAAATAGGAAAATAAGCAAACACCTATATTCTAAGAGAAGAGTGCGCTGTTTGATTGCTGAGCGAACTCCAATTGATAAAGGCACTGTCATGGAAAACATACCAGTTAGGAGATGATTGACAGTCAACTGCCAGATGTTATATAAACTTTAAACTGTTCTTCAGTTCTGTAGAAGTCATATTGGATTTGAAAAATTAACTGATTCTTTTTTCCATAGATGTTACCAGACCAGCTTAGTTTTCTGAGCATTTTCTCTTTTTATTTCAGATTTCCAGCATTCGCAGTATTTCGTTAAAATTTAAGATACTGATCATATTCAACCAGCTCATACTTGCACAAGTTAAAGCAATACTCAACATCAGAAGAAATTATGCAATTGTATAAAATTTGCTAAATAATCCTAAGAATTACACAGACAAATAATGTCAGATTGCCATTCAGGCTTTGTGTGTCACACTTGAAAGTTGCATATATTAATACAATGTTTCTGTTTCAATTTAACAAAATAAGTGACAGACTTTCTCTGGTTCATTCTTCAACACAATGCCTCGACCAATCAGAGTCAACCTGCCTTGTTTAAATTTAAACAAAGTTTGGCAGTTAACTGACAGTCATCATCTAAAATGGTCCAATTTCCATGTGACGCCTCTAGCAGTCAACACTCACTTCTCAGAATATAAACGTTGTTTCCCTTTTTCATAGGTATTCGAGCAAATGTCCTGTGAGTGCAAGACAGAAAGCTTCAACAAAATGGGTCTTTTTTTTCACAAATACTCAAAAATTCTCTTTGCTTAGACAAGCATTGGAGAAATATGTTCAGCTACAATCTGAAGAAATAAGGCAAATCCACCCGATTGTAACAGTATTAAACTCTGTGGTCATTTTGTTTTAAAATTGGACTCATGTTGCTTGGTCTTGGTTATTTGAATAGTCATGATTTTCTTTGGTTATTACATACGAGTAACACAATTAACGATTTATAAAGGCGGTCTTCACAATCTGCCAATAATTCTTTTTTCCTTCTGCATTGTATTACAACACTGTTTTCCTGGAATTAAACAGAGTGAAATTGGAAATCATAAACAATAATCTTGAAGGGTCAAGTTATGTGCTTCCACTAAACTTCAATTTCAAATGTTCTTTTAAACTGTGAAGGTAATTGCTATTGATAAAAGTAAACAGGAATTCAAATGTGCTCCGGAGGGAGGGAGAGATGTTATTTTGTGAGGCCCAGTATTGGCTAAAGGGATTGAAAATCCAGCGTTTCATGTCACTGCCAGGTTTTTCTTTAGTATAATAAAAGACAGTAGGTGATAGACTGTGTTGAGTTGAGGGATTTGTTGATATTTGAAATCTAGGAAAGTGAGTGTTAGTAGCAAAGAGACAGAAAAGATGAAAGATGGGAATTGATCTTATATCATTCATGTCAGAAATGTTAATCATAACAACATTTAAGTTTGTATTATGAATATATTGCAGAATAATTTACCTGCCACATTTCAACTTTATCCATGAGTTCTTCATCAAAATCCATACAAAATGCCATGGCTTTTCCTGCTGCCAATCTTCTTCCTTCAATGCTCAATTCTGATTGTATAGTGATACATGGAACCTCTTCAGCTGACCAATTAGCTTTTCCTTCTTCATCCCCAATCACAAACATTTTTTTGTGATTTAAAGAAGCTTTATCTGTTGATTTTTTGCTAAGTGAAGAAGAGAATAAACGTTCCTGAGCAGGCCTGGCATTCTGTTTACTGGGGGCAATGATCCTGGTACATTCTTCCGCATTAATGTCACTAGTGCCATGAGAAGTGATAACTGTATCAGGTGCTTCAGAGATCAAATATTTCAGTGCAGCAGCTGTAGTTGATGATCTTAAGGAAAATGTTCTGTGGATTTCCTTTGATAGCTTTCTCCTTACAAAAAGAGGAGATTCCACTTTTTGGTCATTTGCATTACAAGATTTTTGATATTCCCATAGACTAGATTTAAAAGAAAATGATGGACTTTGCTTAATAAGACAAAGATCTGGTACTTTCAGAACAGTTGAGCTGATCTGATTTGTGTCCACTGGCTTTGGACTGGGCTGTCTGAGATTGAGCTGAGACAAACTTTGCTGATGGAACTTGCTGGAGAAAGCAACCTGGGTAGGTGCTGTAAAAGGTGTTTCATTTTGCTCTGTAAAGAGTTCAGCTCTCTGAAGATCTGATTCACTATAGCTGAGACGTTTTTTTAAGTGGGACAAGGGCTGAAGGAAGTCTGCATTACGCCGTTTCCAAAGAGGGTCAAATTCTTGCTCGTTCATCAATCCCGAATCATTGGGAATAAATTCAGTCGCAGTGTGCTCAAAATGATCGCCCATATCAAAGCCTTGGCCGTCAAATTCTTTATCCAGTTGCACTACCCCCAACTGTGATACTGTTTTTTCAATTTCCGCTGTAAGATCTGGGATTTCTATATTACCTTCTTCAATCAATTGCCTGTTTTCTGCAAAGTCTAATAACAATTTGCAGGTCAAATAAATTATTTTTGGGACATGTCTGAGTTGCCGTGCTTCATATCCGTGCAGCAGGTGGCGCTGGCGAATGAGATACTGAGAAACTGTAACAGCGTGAGCTCTTGGATCACAACAGGAAAATACATTTCGTAATGGAATCAGGAACTGGGAAAATTCCCGCACACATAACAACTGTCCACGAGTCTGAATTGCATTTGGCCGCTTAGCACGAACAAACAATATTGCTTGGTCTGCACTCATTCTTGTTGCAAAGACTAGGTAACATGCTATCAGGACTCCTAAGGAGATACAAGGGAATATCAAAAATTAAACAAAATTGCTCAGAATTAAATATCTTTTGACTTGAATACGCAGTGTAGGATACTTTTTGTTTTTTCCTACATTAAACTAATGGCACGTCACTAAAATTTCAGATGTTTAAGATGAAGCATCTCTAAACAAAGCAGAAAAGGAAATAATATACAAAAGTAGCAGTGTCTACAAAAGGTGCATTTCCACTGTCAGATTAGATGCTCCTATCAACAGGCTGGGATGAGGAAAAATGAGGAAGATCTTGCATAACTTCTCAAAAAAAAAGACCTGCGACTAGTCACCCACTTCCTTGAAATCCACAGGGCAATGCATAGTCTGATGATAGCCAAAGAGAAAACTGCAGTGAACATTAGGCAAGATACTGTGAAAAAAGAAGAATTCCTTACATTACTGAACACCAAGTTTAATCCTCTAGCTGCAGACCCATATGTTACTCCCATGCTCAATCTGTAATTGTATGAAATTATGATCACCTCCCCTACAAGATGAGATTAATAGGATCATTAGCTTCTCTCTATTTGCCCCCAGTCTAAGAGGCACATCCTAAATATTAGACCAAGATATTTCACGAGTAAAATTAGGAAACACTTCTGGGCGTTAGAAGTTTGGCACACACTCCCACAAACACCTGATGGCATGGCAGAGAAATGATTGATTTCAAAACAAAATTGATATATTTTTGCCAGCCAAGGATATTGAGGGTTTTGGGATAAAGGCTCACATGAAGTTAATGTGCATTTCAGCACTGATCTAACTGAATGATAGATAGGTTTGAAGGGCTAAAATCGCCTGTCCTGTTCCTAAGTATTTGTGCTTTTTGATCAGCTTAACTCAAGCATCAGGCAAGGGAGCCTTGGCATTTTGGAACTCCTGGTCATGGCTGCAGAGAACATGGCCCCCTCTTGAAGGCCTGCTATATAACATTGCCACAGTCAAAGTACTTATCTAAGGTGCAAATTTTGCTCTCACCCAAACAGGCAGCAAATATCTCAAGCCTATTAGATAAGAGCAAAGGCAGAAGCACCTCCAGTGCTGTACCAAAGGTGCCTATAAACTGCCTATCTCGCAGTCATGTCCTCTTGTCCATGACCATCTACCAAATATGCATTATTTCGCAAAACAATGAAAATACCCTTCTTGATACCTCACAGTGTCTGCACCACACACTCCAACTCAATAAATCAGAGCTAATTCCTCAAGATGCAGTCACTTGCAGATTTATGGTTGCACAATGCTATACAGAAACTCCCACAATTCTGCAGTGATGGCAGAGCATTGGTCTAATATGGTGTTTGGATATTAATGAAATTAATTTGTGCATGTAATCAACTTAGCTTATTGTGAACAATGATAATTACTGTGAACTTCAATATGGTTTGGCAAATAACATAATCAATCAAATAAGTATTTGGTTTTGTACTGAATTCTAAAAGAAAACCACAAACACCTACAGATAAAACCTACAAGGTGGTACTGGTTTACCTGTCCTTCCAAGTCCAGCATGACAGTGAATCGCCACTTTTCCTTCTTGTAGGGCAAAAGCCATAACTTTGACCATATCAAGGATTGTGGTAAGAGAAGCCACACCATAGTCCTTCCATCCAAAATTATAAAAATAATCTGAAAACAAAAGTTTAAAAATATTTTCTTTAAATTTTAATTATGGGTGAAGTTTTTGGTTTGTTAGCTCATGTCCGTTAAAGACTAAACTGAATTTTTCCATAGAGTCTTTATATAGGCAAAGTTTGTAGTGTTTCTCGGTTTAACTTGAAATCTGATTGCAGAGACAAAAGAAGCTTTGATTTTCAAATTGACATCAATTAGATGGGACAGTTTTGAACAGGTTGTATCGAGTCAAGAAAGGGGTATCATTTGCACCATATTTTTCTGAGGTTAGCTCAATGGCATAACATCAAATACAACCTTGGACAAGGGCAGGAAGCACTCAGAGTCAAACAGGAAATTACATAGAAACAAAATTTAGAGAGAAGGGAGCAATTAGGATATCAAAATAAGAGGACTTTTTGAAAGCCACTGGAATAGTTTAGAAGGTATACCAACTTATTAGAGGTTTTTAGCAAGGCTAAACAGTCAAGAGCCTAAGCAGCACAGGCAAAAATGAAAAGCAGATACAAGATGCCAGCACAAATCCGACAATTACTGTCAGAACAACCTTGCATTATTTATTTCATGAGATGGGGGTGTTACAATATTTGTTGTCCATCCCCAAGTGCCACTGAAGTGAGTGGCTTGCTACAGGTTTCAGAGGTCAGTTAAGAGTCAACCATTTTGCTGTGGGTCTGGAGTCACATATAGTCTAGACCAGGTAAGGATGCGAGATTTCCATCCTTGGAGGACATTAGTGAACCAGATGGGTTTACACAACAATGTTTTCAAAAGGTCACCATTTCTGAAACTAGCTTTCCACTCCAAATTAATTTAAATTCCACCACTTACTGTGATGGAATCTGAACCTGTACCTAGAGTACTAAACTGGGCCCATGGATTGCTAGCTCAGTGGCATTACCACTATGGCAGCATTTCCCTTTACCCTCCACCAGTTGCACGACTTTTCAAGTGGTGACAATGTTGATGAAGCCACTTGCAAAGAAAGTGTTGTTCGTTGCTACTCCAAAAGTCTAGCTCTGAAGGTTTATTTTTAACACATTCACTCCTGAAATGTGTGCATTACTGACAACGCTCTCATTTGATGCCGATGCCAAGCCACCCTTGAGAAAGTGATGACGAGCCGCAATTCATCTGCTCTATCTACCCCCATTGCAGGGGTCAGTAAGGGAATTCCAGATTTTTGACCTAGTGACAATGAGGAACAACTATATAGTTCCAAATGACTTGGTACATGGTTTGGAGAGCAACTTGCAGGCAGGGTTCCCATACGTCTACTGCACTTGTCTTTCTAGGATGGTACAGGTCATGGGTTTAGAAAGTGGATCTGATTAGAATACCTGCGGCATTCACATTCAGCAAACATTATTACATTAGAAATAGGTAATGATAAACCATGTTGACTCTTTTTCTTCTCTGCACTCACCTCTATGCTTTGAAATTCTCATTTCTTGGTGACTGAACTGGTTACAGTATTCAAACTGCAATTTCAATCAACATATCTTATAAATTATATTTTACTATTCTGTCCATGTATTTTCAGATCCTATTGGCTTTGTTGATTGCTAATGTGCATTAATCAATGTTTAATTTTTAGTTTACTTAGACTCTATAGGGTGGCATGGTAGCTCAAGAGTTAGCACTGCTACCTCACAGCACCAGAGACCTGGGTTTGATTCCACCCTCAGGTGACTGCCTGTGTGGAGTTTGTACATTCTCCCTGCGTTTGCATGGGTTTTCTCCCACAGTCCAAGGATGTGCAGGTTAGGTAGACTGGCCATGCTAAATTGCCCAAAGCGTTCAGGGATGTGCAGGCTAGGGAAATCATTCATGGGAAATGCAGGGTTCCAAGGATAGGGTCGGGAGATTGGTCTGGGTGGGATGCTTTTCAGACGGTTGGTGTGGATTCAATGAGCCAAATGGCCTGCTTCCACACTGTAGGGATTCTGTGATTAGATCTTGTACATCTTCATCTCACAAGACTGACTTTGAAACACTATTAATTACATATTGGTAGTCTATTTTTTTTCTATAATATCTGACATGAAATCTTAAGGGGATCAGTCAGCTCAGTCGGCTGGACAGCCAGTTTGTGATGCAAAGTGATGCCAACACCATGGGTTCAATTCACGCACTGGCTAAAGTTACAACAAAGGACTCTCCTTCTGAACCTTGCCCCTCTATTGAGGTATGGTGACCCTCAGGTTAAACCACTACCAGTCGTCTCTCTTGAATGAGACAGTAGCCTAATGGTCTGGTAGGACTATGGTAACCCTTACATGAAATTTTATCTGCCATTGCTCAATTCACATTTCTTGTCCAACTCATTCGGTCATCTCTAAACAACTTTCAGTTCCTAGTTTCATATTATCTGCAAATTTAACCAGTTTCTAAATCAAAGGTGATTACATAAATTAGAAACAGCAGTGATTCAAGCATTGAGCCTGGAGGTATCCACTCACTGTTCCACAATCATACATAACTCAAACACTTGCTCATTGTTTCTTATTCTTCAATTAGTTTCTAATCCATTCCTAGGACTTACCCTGAATCCTTACAGTTTTGAATTGAAGCATTAGTCTTTTCTTGTGTAACATTTATGGAAATTATGGTATACCACATCATAGGTTTACCACAGTTCATTTGAGTTGTCACTTCCTCATGGGAGTTAAAGTCAGTATATGGTGTAATTGTGCAGTCTTCTGATCCTCAGCCATTCTGACATTCTTATAAATGCACTTAATAAAGTTTGGAAAGTGTACAAACTGAAGATAACCCTGTGACATGTGTTGGAAAATATCACAAAGTAGCAATACTGGGAAATTTCTGTCATTGGCAAGATTGACAAGCAATGCTACCAAGGTATTCACAGCAGGGACATATCTGGTTGCCCTATACCGAGTAGAAAAGTCACCAGAATATGGTCAAACCACACTCTACGTTTCCGACAAAAATAATGGTTGAAGTTGCAGAGATTCTTGTCACTTTTCTGTTTGCGTGTGAACGTAGCACCCGAGGATTGCAAACATTTCATCCGTGTCCAAGAAGGAACCACAAATGAGAAAAGGATAAGCCTGGCAACTACAGGCGAGCCAGCCTAACGTTAGTGGTGCAGAGCCTTTACAAACACTAACGCAGGGAAAAATCATTGACACTTCGAAATAAACTAAATATAATAATTTTTAATAGGATGTCAGAACAGAGACACAACAATACATACACAAATGTTTGAAACTGGCAGGACAAGGTGAGAAAGTTGTTAATAAGGCTTGCAGAATCTTCAGCTTTACAAACAGGATAAAGTATAAGAAAGTTCTGCTCAATGTTTTGTGATGAAATCCATTATTCTGTTCCCATTTGTATTATACAAATCAGCTGTGTGAATATTGTAATATTCAGGAACAACTATGCTTGGTTTTGCCCAGTGATAATGGTAGTACTTCTTGTCTGGTTTTTAATAGATCATTCAGAACAGTCAGAGTTAGTCAAAGCTGAGAAGGGGCTGAAGCAAAGAAACAGTTTCAGACAACTCAAGTGATAGAAGGAAACTCTAGATAGTTAAAACACAGAAGTTGTCCTCGGGCTCTTTGGACTTAAAAGAAGTCTGTGAGCCATTAATGGCTCACTGCAGCTATGAGTAGGAGTGAAGGAAGTCCACAAGCAGTATTTGCCTGGTGCAGCTGAGCAAGATAAGAATTCAGCGAATTTCAGGAGCAATACCATTTTGTGAAGCCAGCTGTCTGCAGACAGAGCTGCGGGTAAACACTGGAGTTGAGCTTCCAGGATCCAGGGAGCACAATCCCAGGAATTGAAAGTGAATTACCAGGATGTGAGAAGTTATTCGGGCAGATTATAATTGAGTGGTTTTTAAGGGAGTTCTGAAGCTACATCTCTGAAAAGGATTTTTATCCTAAAGTATTGATAAGATTTGATGATATAATGTCAGGGGATTGCTAAGAAACCTGCTCATTAGTAAGGGGATCAAAGGTTATGGCGAGATGGCAGGAGAATGGGGTTGAAACATATATCTTTCCTGAACTGGTACTAGGGATGAACCATTTCAATTATGTGGAAAGATTAGAAAAACTTGGGTGTTATCCTTACGAATAAGATGTTTCACGGCTGGATGAATAGAGGGTATGCAAAGTCATTCAGAGTTTTGCTAAAGGAAATAAACAGAAACTGTTGAGTGGCAAATGATTCAATAATCAGAAAGCACAGATATATGGTAATTGGCAAAAAGATCCAGAGGTGTCAAGGGGAAAACTGTTTTTAAACAGTAAATTATGATAGGAACATAGGAACAGGAGGTAGTCCATTAAGTCTATCAAACCTGCTCCACCATTTAATATAATTATGGCTGATCAAATATTTCAATGCCTCTTAAGCATATTATCTTCTTAACCCTTTACGTCATTGATAGATTTCTGATTACTAACCTCAACTTTAAACACCAATGTCTGAGTTTCCACAGATTCACAACCCTCAGCAATAAAAATTCGCTTCATCTTGGTCCTAAGTGGCACCTCTGTTGTTTATAAAATTGTTCCTCAGGCTCTAAACTCCCAAATAAGAAGAAACATCTTACCTATATCCACCCCGTCTATCCCTTTAGATATTTAGGAAGTTTCAATGAGATCACCTCACAGTCTTTGGAACTCTAGAAAATACAGATCCACTTTTTCTACTTTTTTTCTGCTACTGTCATCCCAGAACAAATCTGGTGAACCTTCATTGCACTTCCTCTATAGCAACAAAATCCGTCCTGAGGTAAGAAGACCAAAAATACAATACTATAGAACTCCAGATACAGTCAAGCCAAGGTACTATACAGTTAAAGCAAGAAATCACTACTCTTGTACTCAAATCCTCTTGCAATAGAGTAAAACTATTAGCCTTCATCATTGCTTGTTGAACACGTATGTTGGCTTTCAGTGACCTAGTAACAAGGATACAGAGCTCCCATTGTACATCTACATTATCTTACTTCTAAC